GATTGTGGGGCCTGAACTCTGGGCCTGGGCACTGTCCCTCAGCTCTTCAGCTCAAGGCTAGCGCTCTACCACTTGAGCCACAGCGCCACTTCCAGCTTTTCTCTTTTTGCTTATATGGTGCTGAGGAATCAAACCCAGGGCCTTATGCATACAAGGCAAGTACTCTACCACTGAGCCACCTTCCCAGCCCCAGTCATTTTTCTTATAGAACATGAATTTTGGAGTAGTAAAAGGCTTTTCTAGTCCATATTCCAGTTCATCCTAGAACAAGCCTTAGTAGCAAGCAGTATTACTTATTCTTAAAATTGTTTTTCATGGATACCTTCAAATCAGTATTGCACCTAAGAAATCCCTTTCAGTTCTTGAAATGGAAAGAAATTGGTGTGTGTGGAGAATTGTCTGACATGTCATTAAATTGCAGGGTTGTTAACATTTAGGAGGGTGCAGATTGGATGAATGATATTTGTTTGTTTATTCAGTTTGTCCCACAATCATTTGACAATCATATGTCAGGCTCAGTGTGAAATGCTGGGAGCACCAAGCATATAGGAATTCATAGCCTAGAAGGATGCCAGCCATAAATAAGTCATTATATGATAGAGATATGTACAAAGTACAGCAGGTAGAGAAGGCAGAGTGGAAAGAAGATCAACTCTACCATGAAGAGCAAAGGCAGAGCTGAGTGGTAACTTGGAGACCAGAGGACTAGGAGACCTCTGCCATGTCATTGTATAAATCTATAATAAATGGTCACAACCTCAAAGAAGCTGATGATATGAACAGTGCTTAAAGTTAATGATTCCTTGGGGATAGTCAACATCCTGTTTTTGTTTTGCATTTTAAGTCAGCAATTAATTTTCACTATCAATAAAAAGAGAGTAAGACTACTTTCCAAGTATGTGTTGTAAAACACGCAGTTGCTTGCGGTCATAATTCATCCTTTTATTTGCTCCTATATACTCTGGGGAAACAGTGTAGAAGATTCTCTTTTGATCTCATGGTCTCATGTCTTGGGTTGGTAGGAGGGTACACAATTTGTTTATCTGACACACTGAGTTTCAAGTGGTATTTTCCATGGAAACAGCAGAATTTTATTTTAAGAGGCAAAGAAATGTATGTGTATGTAATACACAGTTGCTCTCTCTTTACAACAAGGCAAGTCATTCATTGACTCTTTGAAAATTGTACAGTAGCCATCACAGCCTCTGTTCTGTGCCAGTCTCTGGAGTACAGTTTAAGGAAACACATGGTCATGAATAATTTGGAATGCTGTGTACACATTTCTTTCCTTGTGTATGTCTTTGTGTTTAACTGAAGCTTTTAATAGAGCAGATACCCAGCAGTCAGCAGCGTATTTCTCTCCCAGGATAGTTTTCCAATGACAGGCAATTGGGAGGAAGTGAGGACATGACACAAAGTATTACCTGAATTCAGCACAGTGAGGTTTTCCTCTGCTCCTTCACCACCAGGCCTCTTCTACCACTCTGAACTCATGACAGTAAGAAATTGTTTTGCTGGAGGCTTCAAATGATTTGAGTTCAAGTACTACTTCCTTAAATGAAAAGACTTCAGAGCTCCAAGAAGTAGTTGAAGTGTTTGTAGGATTTAGTTTGGTACTGGACTGATGTTAATGTGTCTGGGATCCTCACTATGTAAGCTTTTCTTTTTCTGGAACCAAGAAAGTGGGAGAATTTAGAATAAGCAGTTATCTATAATATAGACCTTGAAAATGTCTTCTCGATCTTTCTACCCTTATCCCTCTAGTCTGCACCGACATTCTCTGAGCCTCTTAACTGGTCTCCTCATTTAGTCTTTAGTTCTTCAATCCCTTTCCACAGAAAGGCCTGGGTGGTACTTCTATGACACAGAATGATCAGGTTATTTCTCTGCTGAAATTCTTGACTTCTCTAGCAACCCTAGATATGAAGTGAGAATTTCCAAGGAGGATTATGGGGCCATGTGTGGATTGATCCTATCTTCCCTCAATAGCATCTTTTTTTTTTTGGGGGGGGGGTCCGGTCGTGGGGCCTGAACTCTGGGCCTGGACGCTGTCCCTCAGCTCTTCAGCTCAAGGCTACTGCTCTACCACTTGAGCCACAGCGCCACTTCCGGCTTTTCTCTTTTTGCTTATGTGGTGCTGAGAAATCAAACTCAGGGCCTCAGGCATACAAGGCAAGCGCTCTGCCACTAAGCCACCTTCCCAGGCCTCAATAGCATCTTTTTATGACCATGTTTACTTAACTAACCATCTGATGGAGTCTTGATAGTTTTCTTAAATGCAACAGGGTCTTCCCTGTCTCAGGACTTTTGCATTGCTGTTCTACCTGGGGAAACACTAATCCTCCCTCCTCACCTACAAAGTTGTTCATGTTCATAGTTTCAGATTAAATATAATTTCATTAAAGAGGCTGTTTCCTTCTTGTCTAAATCAGACCTATTTGTTGTAGTTTATCATGGAACCTTATGTTTTTCTTTTATGTTCTTCACTAATGATTGTTTTATTTATTTGACCAATTATTTATTTGATGCCAAGCTCCTTCCTTAACTGGGAGCCCTGTGAGGGCTAACTTATAGCTTCTAATACAGACTGGCGCCAAGGAAGCATGCCTCCAATAATGATTGAAGGGATGATCAGTTCTTATTTTTTTTGGGGGGGGGTCCGGTCATGGGGCCTGAACTTCGGGCCTGGGCACTGTCCCTCAGCTCTTTAGCTCAAGGCTAGCGTTCTACCACTTGAGTCACAGCGCCACTTCCAGGTTTTTTCTTTTTTGCTTATGTGGTGCTGAGGAATCGAACCCATGGCCTCAGGCATGCAAGGCAAGTGCTCTACCACTGAGCCAACTTCCCAGCCCTGGATGATCAGTTCTTAATTTAGTACTTCATTTTCTAGAATTTTTTTTTTAGTAATTCAAAGTATATTTTGCCTACTTAGCAGTATTATGGATCCTCTAACAGGACTTAACAAGTATTAGATATCTATGGCTGTCATATCTTTTGGGTGCCTGTGCATGTATGTGTGTGTGTTTGTGAATGTAAGTACTTGGGGTTTGAACTTAGGGCTTGGGTACTGTTCCTTAGCTTTTTTGCTCAAAACTAGTGCTCTGCCCCTTGAATCACTTCTTGCTTTTTGCTGATTAGTTCAAAGTAAGAGGCTGACAATCTTTCCTGGTCATGATGGCTTTGAACTGTGATCCTGACAGATCACAGTTTCCTAAGTAGTTAGGATTGTAGACAGTTAAAAAAGAAGTCACCTGGGCATACATGGATCACGCCTGTAATCCTAGCTACTCAGGAGGCTTAGATCTGAGGGTCACAGTTC